ATCCCTTTACCTTTACCTTATGACTCCTGGAAAGTAAATATATTGAAAAAATCTCATAGAAGCCAAAGACTCTTTGCACAACCAAAAACCTCTGTTTTGTTGTACTGTATATGGCAAACTGTTATAGTTTCACTTTTTTATATTTCCTTGCTTATTCAAAGAAGTCATAAAAGTGGTGAATCAACTGGCTAAAGACTTCATGGGCATTGGCTTGACTTTCAGCTCCTCCATCCACATGCCTTCCCTTTTGGCTGCTGTCACTCATAGCTCTTAAGATGCCATAACACTCTTACCTAAGAGAACACCCATCAGAAGTTCTCTTGTACTGTGTTGGCCAGTACCCAAAGAGGCATGCACATGGAAAATGATAGGTTGCAATTGGTTTTGTATGTCTGTATCCAAGAAGGACGTGGAAAATTCAAGATCCTGTTGGTCACTACTCATTGGGTGAGCCAAGAAAAAAAGGCATGGACAAAGATCTTAATGTAACATTTTCCATCTGCTTATCACCTTGAGCTTAGATCTGGCCATATTATGACCTACATGGCTTAAGTGGCAGATAAGGTGGGACAATGAATCACATGCCCTTATCCATCCCCATGACTGATACCACTGCCACCCACCATCACTGTTTTTGTGCCTGTAGCATTTGGTACTTCAAAAAGTGGCTAAGGGCCATTGTGAGACTCTCTGGTCTGCCCACCTCTGGCCTCACTCTGAGGAAGATATTGTGGGTTAGATGGGTTTCACAGGTGCTCTCTAGGTCAGGTTCTGAGAAAGGGAGCACTTCCTCAAAGTACAGTATGCAGGTGTCTTGCACCAACCAGATCAGTGGAATGGATTCTAAAAGCACTACTGAAGAAACGAGAAAAATAGGGCCTTCATTTAATAAAGTGGGAAGTTATATTCTGATGATTCGCTTCTATACCTGCCTTCCTTAATGGGAGGCATAAAGATCTCTATATGTGCCCACAAGGCCTTTGACCCAAGATTTTAATTTTTAAAAATTCCAGGCAGCTAGGCTTGCTTCAAAGCAAAGTCCTGGTGAGGCTCTAGCTGTTTGGCCTATTCATTTCTCCAGAATGCCGCTGGCGCTAGTGTAGGCCCAAAGGCATTATTTTGGAAATAAAGATGGTAGTCAGCTGGAGTCTTGCTAGCACTTCACTTTGAAGTTTGCCTAATGGCCCATAAAATGTTTTTAAAATGGGACTGCACACTGCCTGATAAATGTAATGTGGGAGGCAATCAAGAGTGATTTTTTTTGGGGGGGGAGCCTTGGGGTAAAGAAAGCAGTGGAAAGAGTGGGCACAGAGGAAAGTCAGAGAAAGAAGACTCCCCCCTCCCACATGTAACTGAAAGCTTTTGAATTTGCATAGTTTTAATGCAGGAGCTCCCAAAGCCACCGTTAAATAATGGATCACATCTATCTCCATACTCTGAACCATAAAAATAATGGATCTGGCATTTGTGGTACCACTATGGCACATAAAATGAATCATTGGACTGGATTGTTATGGGTTGTCATTCTTTTTTTACAATGACACCCCTCAAACCACAATGAAATCATATGGTACCTTCGTGTCCACAGGTGTGTTCTGTGAATCACTGGTGGTTTTGCTGGCATCCAACAAAAAAGAAAAGTATTTTGGATCAACATTTTTGTGACACTGCTTCCCTGGCAAGTGCTGGACCTCTAGAGCTACAAATGTAAGTTTTAATTTGATGGTGGTTTGGGGGAACCCTATGTAAAAATCATGGAAATTCAAGAGGATTCATGTTAATTCTGGATCCAGCTTTTACCCAGACCTCATGGGAAAGTGTGTAGCTCCATCCCTTTTTTCCTGTATATGTGTATGTGAGCAAGTTGGGCTGGGGGTTGGAGTAACAGATGGGGAGAGAAGTGACCCTGTACCCCTGTGAGGACTCTGCCAATTATTCAGGAAAAGTTTGCAGACAGATTTTCTGTGTTGGAAAAATGGCAAAGCAACTTCATGTCTCATATTTTTAAAACAACGAAAACTAAAAGTTCTAAGGCTTTACTAGTAGGAGTAATGGGCTGCTTGTTTGAAAATGTTTAACTCCACATTCATCAGTACCTTTGGTGACTTTTTCATTAACTTCAATAGTATCTGGACTTTCTGTAGTGTTTTTCTTCTGTCCAGTTTGGTTTCCATCATTCTTACTCCTTTCATGAGCTTATGAAGGGCACAGATTCAGCTACTGGTAATCAACAGTAAGTAATGGAAATGATTAAATGTTAATCATCACTCTTTTGAGAAAATAAATGCCTTTATGTTTAATGAAGTTCAGCATTTGTAAAATTTCATTTCAATAGCCATTGTTTTTTCCCCTTGAAGTTTAATAACTGTCTGGCTCTCCATTGTGAAATGCTGAATGAAAGGAAAAAGGAAAAATGACACACAACCCGTTGTACAAAAAAGATTTTAAAAAGGACTTCCACCTAAACTGCACTTTTCAGTTCTGTGTATCTCGATTACTGGTATGTGACAACAACAGACCAACATTCCCCTATGTACTGTATGCTAGCATAAAAATATCAGGTTATAGTTCTTTGGGAAAATGTGGTTATACAATGATAAAATCACAATGAAATTGATTCAAGGGTCTGTACTGATAGATGGTTTAAAAATGAAATACAGTGGTACCTCTGGTTACGTACTTAATTTGTTCCAGAGGTCCATTCTTAACCTGAAACTGTTCTTAACCTGAAGCATTCTTAACCTGAACTGTTCTTAACCTGAAGCACTTTAGCTAATGGGGCCTCCTGCTGCTGCCGTGCTGCCACCGCCCAATTTCTGTTCTCATCCTGAAGCAAAGTTCTTAAACCGAGGTACTATTTCTGGGTTAGCGGAGTCTGTAACCTGAAGCGTATGTAACCCGAGGTACCACTGTACATAGATACAATTCTTAAACTAGAATTATCTTTTGCCAGAGCACTTAGTTTAATGTTACCAGACGTCCCCATTTCCCGGAGACAGTCCCCGGATTTACAAATCAGTCCCCATACAGAATCCATTGAAGCTGAAAAGTGTCCCTGGATTCATTGAAAAAAATCTGGTAACCTTAACTTAGTTAGGTCACATGAACTTCTAAGAAATATATTGCTGTAAGTGCTTTGTATGTGGCCTTATGCAGAAGGAATCACATTCTTTTCAAGCATATATGGTTACAGGGGATGGCACCCTTTTGCAGAAGGATTAAAACCCAGCTGCATTAAAGCCCAGCTAATGGGAGTTGGAGTCCAAAATAGTTGGAAGATACCAGGTTGGGGAAGGCTGTCCTACCCACTTTGACCTAATTATGATTCAGTTGACTTCTTTAAATAACTGGTGCCACATGTCAGTTGCCATATCCTCATTCATCTTATGTAATCTTTTTTTTAAAAAAGATAATATTTATTACTTTTCCAACAATTTAAACACACACACAAAAAAAGAAAAAAGAACAATACAATACAAAAACACTACATAACACATTAAACTAACAAAATAAAACAAAAACAGTTTAAAAGACATCAAACAATTTCAATATCTTATCTTTCATTCACTTATTTCAGTGACCTCCTGACACCTCCCTTTTTGTATTCCACTTCTGTTGATTGTTTCAGCAATTCCTTTCCATCTTCCTCTGCTTTCTATCCTTTAATTATCTTAACAGATTCTAACCTTGTTTTTCCCTTTAATACTCTATTAATCTATTTATACTTAATTCCTTATAACATTTCTACTAAAGCCATATAACTTCATTCCAACATTTTTCTAACATTCATTAATTTTACAATATTTCTGTAAATAGTCTTTAAACTTTTTCCAGTCTTCTTCCACCGACTCTTCTCCCTGGTCTCGGATTCTGCCAGTCATTTCCGCCAATTCCATATAGTCCATCAACTTCATCTGCCATTCTTTCCGAGTGGGTAAATCTTGTGTCTTCCAATACTTCGCGATGAGTATTCTTGCTGTTGTTGTTGCATACATAAAAAAAGTTCTATCCTTCTTTGACACCAATTGGCCAACCATGCCCAGGAGAAAGGCCTCTGGTTTCTTCAGAAAGGTATATTTAAATACCTTTTTCATTTCGTTATAGATCATCTCCCAGAATGTCTTAATCTTTGGGCATGTCCACCAAAGGTGAAAGAATGTACCTTCAATCTCATTACATTTCCAACATTTATTGTCGGGCAAATGATTAATTTTTGCAAGCTTGACTGGTGTCATATACCACCTATAAATCATTTTCATTAAATTTTCTCTTAGGACATTACATGCCGTGAATTTTGTACCTTGTGTAATCTTGATGTGAAACTATAAATGTTCTGTGATTCTTCAGCTGAAAAATTAGCTGGGGACTAACAGCCTGTTATTGACTCCAGCGTGGACTATGAAAATGAGGAATGAAATTTTACTAGAGATTCCACATAAAATAAACCTGGTGTTTTATAGTTAAGTATTGTTCAGCTTCCGGTTGGTATTATATCTGAATGAAGACTAAGGTAGCTCTGCACTTCTCTACTTCTCTCCAGTCCTGCATTTTATACTTTATTATCATACTGTTATCTAGTTTTGTTGTGAATTACTTTTGGAGGCAGAAACAATATTTTTTTAATGTAATGAATATCAATAAGGGAATGCCATATCTGTTTTAGGCTGTTGGTGGGAAATAAGAAAACTATAGAGTAATTGAGGGAGAAAAATTGAGAGGCAACGGATCATCAGGTGAATGTTGCTCAAAGCTCAGCCTGAAAAGAAAGAAAAGAAAAACCTAAAAACAAACCAGAATGCAACTCTGATCCTAAAGAATGCATATCTTAGGTAGTGACAGAGTTGCTTGAACAGCTGTTATTGCTGCTGCACTCTTTAACTTGTTTACACTTGTTTTTAAAAGTTTTTTTGTAAGTCACTTTGAGTTTTTTTCTGAAGACGTGACTAATAAACAATAAACAATAAAAATAAAATAAACAACTGCTTCCACTCTAGAGCGCCTTTGTGTTGCAAATGCATAGTTTTATTGCAATGAACTGGAAACATAATGAAAACAGAGGCTGCACCCAGCCTTTATATTGTTACAAAAGTAGCATGGTCAACTCAATAGGGTCTTGTTCCCCACAGGAGTACAGCCCTGGAGCCCAAGGCATCTCTCCCATTCTCTCTTCAGCCCGCCTGCCAAGATGGTTCTGGCCTTTGTTTCCCATCTTCTTCCCAGGACATTTCATAAGACTGCTGAAGAAAAAGAAAAAACGAATGAAACCCAGTCACTAGGGGCCTGGTGAGGAGGAAGTGGTGGAACTGCCAAGCCAGGCTAGTGAAGGGCCCTTCTGAGCCTCTGGGACTGTGCACCAGTGCCTGTCTTGGCTGATCACTGGCCCCAGGTCTGCTCTTCTCCATGGCCAAGGTACTTGTATTTGCTGCCTCTCTTGATCATCTTGTTGCTCCACAATCTTACTCAGAAAAAACATTTCAGCTGCTCATGCATTAAATATGTCGAAGTCAGGAAAGCAACAGGAAGCAGTGAACAAGAAAACCCCCTCTCAATGAATAGAATGAAGATATACTGTACTCTATCCAGAGTAATCTACACCCCAATAACCTCTTGGTTAGATTATGATGTACTTTATGTGGGGCTGCCTTTGAAGATGGCTCAGAAGCTCCAGTTAAGAATATTGCTCCCTGTATTTTTAACTGGTAAAATTGCTTCGGACCACAGCTTACCAGTTTTAAAAGAGCTTGGCTGATTCCTCATTCACTTCCAAGCCTGATTCAAAGTGCTGGTGCTTACTTTTAAAGCCCTAAAGTTGGAGCTTGAAACCTGTGACTCTCAGTTCAGTTCAGACCAGACATATATTAACAGAAGAAAGAAGTAGAAGAGGCATTAAATATATAATATAGTGGAGAGGCTGCATGGAGGAGAGGGATGGCCATATTAGAAGGTGATTCTGAGGCAAAGGCCTGGGGTGAGCCTTTGATAAGAGAGCTGGGATTTACTTGAGACCATCTGCTTTCCACGCCTGTGCTGTGTTTCCCCTACCCACTCACTCCTAGCTTGCACTTGGTAGCACTGGTGGATTAGGCAGCTGTGATCTCTTACAGCAAACCCTCGCCGCCTTGCCCTCATGCACAGAATTTTTTTTTGCAGTGGCCTTGGAAGCCAGAGGTTTTGTAAACTTTGGACTTGGATATCATACTAAACTTTATTTTTCTATGTATGCAATGGGATAAAGATTTTGTATGGAGAAACTGAGCCGGCCAATTAAGGACCATCTTTTCAAAACCATATTTCCTACATATATTTTACTTATTATTACATATTAACTTGCACTAGTGCTAGACTATCATCAAGTGATTGTTATGCGCTTCCTTAACATTACAGACTGTTTCTGTAACAGGCCAGGGCATAAAAAGTACAAATTGTTTATGGGAAGCAAGTGCAGTTAACAGACTTGCACCTTGCTTAGAAGTGTTGCTGAAACAAATGTAATTACTATTTAAGCATCTATGGTAATGTGCAGTGCTATGGCAAGCACAAATGTAAGTGTTTAAGCAATTTAATACAAGCAAAATCCATTACATAATACAAAATGAGGTGTTAAATTGTATTATAAATTTGCTTTTGCTCTCCTGCAAGGACATTTGTCAGCTGTGGGCGAACTTAGGGGGGGAAGTGAGAAACGTAGCTATGCCAAGAGAATGACATACTCTCTCCCTCCCTCCCTCCCTCAAAATATGGGCCCAACATACTATTTGCCCTGCAAATTTTGGGTCCCATAGCTAGTGCACAGAGCCTGTTGTTTTATTATTGGTTTTGTTGTATCTCCTCACATGCAAAATATTGTTATCTTTTACTGCTGTTAGTCATAAGCCTAAATAACAATGGTGCATCTGCATCAGCAAAACCAGACACCTTCATCTACCCCAGTTGCAATAAAGCACGTCTCTCCCATATTGCTCTCTACAGCCACAGCAGGCACTGTAACTCTCCAGTGATTTGACTTTACCCCCTATGACACACTCTTCCATTGTCTTTCAAGACATACAGATGCCAATAACAATTCAGAAAACTGCATGAGTAGCATGATTATAGTTAATATAGGATAGCCAACTAAGAGATGATTGACAAACTAGGAAATACTTACTTGGAATTTTGCCTCTACCATGCACTCACTTGAAACAAGTCACTCTTTCTTAGGCTTAGCACTTCCTTCTCCTGCATATGCAATATAAAGGTAATAAACTTTATAAACCTATCTTACAAAGCTTTTGTAAGGATTACAGGATAATGAATGTGAAGCACTCTGAACACCTCTAAAGCACACTATAAAGGTAAGTGCTATTTGTTTTAAATTTTTATTGATTTAATTATGGTTTTGTGACTATTTGTTTTCATGGATTTAAGCCAATTTTTACCTAAAATTTTATCAGTACACCATTTGGATGATTTCTTTTTTTTTAATCAAGAGGTTTATAAGCAATCTGTTTATCCAACAAGGCTTTGGAATTGCTTTCAAAGAGCACCAGTCATAGATGCCACAAAGAAAACCTCCTTTGAAAGTTAGGGAAGGGCACGGTAATGCATACTAGCTTCGCTGATTGAGGTGGTGCAATTGATGTAGGGCAGCCAAAATAGTTTTGCCAAAACAAAAGAGAGCATATGCCTTATTTGCACATTTAGGAACTTGTACAGATGTTGAGGCATAATAAAGGGATTTGCAGAACTAAGTTTCAGGAGGTAAATGCTAATAAGCTATAAGCTAGGTTTCTGGTGGTATAAACTATACAAAAGCAGCCAAGGATAGGCTTCATCTCAGTGTCTGAAGAACAATGGTTAGCTCAGGAGGAGGTGGTCATTTGGACTCTTGATGTCATGGATCACTATAGAATTAGGGAGGCATGAGGAAAATCATGCATGCAGACATCATACAGGAAGAACGATCTCCTACATTTTATTTTAGATAGTCGGTCTATCCATGTGAAAAGGATCTAGGTGTCTTAGTGGATCACAAGCTGGACATGAGCTAGTAGTGTGATAGGTGTTTTTCTCTCTTTCTTTCTCTCTAGTTAAAAAAAGAATTAAATAAAGAGTAGACTGCACAATCAAAAGCAGTGCTCCAATCATGGGGAATAGTATTTCTTCTCTATCGTGTGCTGGTCATACCACATCTGAAGTCAAGTGCTCAGTTCTGGTCACATTTTAAGAAGGCTATGTGTGAGTGACCAGCATGGGTCTAAAAACAAAGTCCTGTGACAAAGTTGAAAGAGCTGAGTATGTTTATCCTGGAGAAGATTAAGGACACAGTAGTCTTCAAATATCTGAAGCACTATTATGCAGAACATGGAGCAGACTTTGCTCTCTCTTGCACTATTGGGCATCGTGAGACGTAACAGTGGAAATTGCAGGGCAACAGGGGAAGCTTCCCAATGGCAAGTGTGCTATTCCACTGTCCAGAGGTGGTGGGCTCTCTCTTGCTGTTGGTATTTAAGTAAAGACTGCATGACCATTGGTCAGGGATGTTATACCATAATTGCATCTTGCATGGCAGACCTTGCATTGAGCAAAGAGTTGGACACAGAGTTGGACCTCCAAGGTTCCTTCCAGCTCATTGTTTGTAAACATATCATATATTCCTGAGACTGTTTTCACATGGGAACTCCCCATTACCTGGCTGTAAGATCTAGTTCAACCAGTTCAACTAAAGACATAGCCAATGTTCATGCCAGCAGCCGATTTCCCATAGCTCGCCAACCTCTTTGCACAAACTGGAGAAACTGCCATGGTCACAGAACACACACCATAACCAAGAGCACAACTCTTTAACCGGCTACAGTAGATCATTTCTTTCATGTGGGATGGGACCCTAGGTGAACCAGGAAAGGCATGTGCACTCAGAGGCACCATACAGGTGACCCTTGCCTCAAAGTATCCAGTGCTGGTGCAGAAATTCTTCACGCGAATTTAGAGAGGCGTGTGGCAAATCCTGCAAGAAGCACAATAAGTCCCATTTGCAGGCCTCACTGCTGGTGTTTTTTCTCTGCCACTGTGTGAACACTTGAGAGAGCCAGTATAGGATTTTAGACTGCTGGATTAGGTCCTAGGTTCAGAACCACTCACTGAAGCAGCTCACTGGGTGAAGAAGTCAGAGGACGGCCCTGTGCCAATCCCTCTCTCTCAGCATTGCCTCCCAGTGTGGTTGTGCAGCTAAAAGAGGTGGGAGGATGCTGCCCCTGAACGTTGATGCAGGGTGGCGAAACATTCGTCGATCCAGGAACCATGTGGGTGGCCCTCATCCCGCAGGTTTCCTCCTGCTTCATTATTGTTGGCATTCTGACACTGACACTGGCACTAACACCTCCCCTCTTCGACCAGTAGACCACTCTCAACACCTTTGCAACATATCTCAACGGAGTGGGGTTATCGCAGGCTACAAAGCGGCTCTCACGTGGCTCCCGCTGATGCCAGAAACTAGAGAACCTCTTCAGAAACCCATTCGCAAGGGTCCGCCTCTTCCAGCGCGTGCTAGTGGCGGGTGAAGCGGAGCATTGCCAGTCCGCGGAATGAAGCTGGAAAGCAGCTTCTTATTGCCGAAAACTTCCCCAAGCGAGAGCGGTTGCGTTCCCCCCCTCCTCCCGCGAAGTTCGCGCCTGCAAGGCTGCCCATAGCGGGCTACTACCAGGCAGCGCGCGAAGAAAACAAAACACCACAACAAGGCGAGGAAGAGGGAGAAGAAGCAGCGCGGCTCTCGGAGGGAGCGAGGCATTCCAGAGTCTTTTGTGGCAGCGCGGCCTGAACCCCGCTGCGAGGAGAGCGGCGGCGCTTTGCATTGCGGCTGAGGAGACCAGCAGGGCTCGAGGGGCGGGAACCTGAGGCGGTGCGGCTCCTCCTCCTCGTCGTCTTCGCCGCCGCCGCTGCTGCTGCCGGTGTGGCCGGGCGCTGCTCCCTCCTTCCGTCTCCTCACCATGGTTGCAGCAGCACAAAGCGCGAGCGAGCGCTGGAGGCCGCTCCCGCCGTGAGCCTCGGCCTGCCCGACCACAACACTCCTCCTCCTGCTTCCCCTCAGGCACAGCTCCGCCGCCCCTTCCCTCCCTCCCTCCCCAGGCCGGAGACAGAGCCCGAGCGCGGCCAGGACGCGGCGGCCCCTTTCCCGCCCCGCCGCCTGAGGGGATGCGGCGGCGGCTGAGGCGGGAGAAGCAGGGCGAAGACGACGACCGCGGCGGCGGCCGGGACGCCGAAGACAGTGCCGGGCAGCCCGGCAGAGGCGGAACTGGGAGTCGCTGCTGCTGCTGCTGCCGGCAACGGGCCCCGACCGGGCGGCGGCGCTGCTGAGGCCGAGGGGCTGGTCGCCGCCGCCGCCGCCGAGGAGGAGGAAAGAGCGGCGGCCCGAGTGAGTGACGGGCGGTCAGCGGGAGCCGCCTCTCTCCCCCAACTCCCTCTCGGCGCCCGCCGCTGGGGGCTCTGAGAAGCCCGCCTCGCCTCGGGGCCAGGAATAGGCGCTCGCGAGCCGCAGGAGACGAGCGGAGGGGCCGGGGCGCCTCGTTCGGCCCGGAGCAGAGAAGGGGCGAGATGGCGTCCTACGTGGATAACAACTTCCGCCAGGCGGTCATGAAAAACCCGGCCGACAGGAGCCCCCAGGTATTTCTTCACCCCCGAGCAGCTTCCCCCCGAAACTCACCTCAATCTCCTCTTGCTGGTCTTGCAATACAGTATTCCCCACTCTTCTCTCACTCTCTCTCCTCACCCCCACCACTCTTGCCATGTATCTCATTTGGGGATAATTTATCTGTCTGTCGTCGAGAGGAGAGCCCAGCCATAAACAACCCCTTTCTTCCCCTGCGTTTCCCCACGCCAACTCGGCCTACACGTATAGGGAGCTCTTCTCAGTATGAATTCCCAATGCCCCATAAATGAGATATAATTCATCGAATATAATGTCTCTGTTGGCACAATCGCGGGCGGCGGCGGCGAGTTCACTCCGTCTCCTTTATTTTAAAAAATGTCATAGCCACCTATGTCAACAGAACTGTGATGTTAAGTGATTGTAAGGGTGACGGATGGGTATCATCACACACACACCCAGTCCGCCTGCCTGGCCAACGTAGTTACAATTGAATGGCATTCTCTGGCTCTTAGAAAAGTGTGTATGTTTTCCCCAAACGCCCCCCTCCTTCTCCTCCAAACAACTGAGTTACTTTAGATTCCTTCTCTTGTCTACACAGAGAGATACATCAGCTAATCTGCTGTTTTCAGATATCTCTAATCCCTTTTCTACTTACGGGAAGAAAAGCTTCTCTCATTCATTCACAACACTATCACTAGGCACCCCTCCCCCTATCTCCACCAGCATTGTAACCCCTTAGATGGGTGCTAGTATTAAGATGGATGCTTAATTTAGTCTTTCACCCTTCTGTGCTAAGTTTGACTTGAGATTTCATTTCAGTAGGTTGATAGCTTCATACCTAATCTTGGGGGGGGGGGGGTCAGGGGGCGGTTAGCACTGTGGTTTAAAATGTCTCCCCTCCCAGTTTGGATATTGGATTTTCACAACATTGCTTTCTGAATAGCTATGCTAAAAAACAAAAACAAAACAACTTTTAATGAACAAGCTAAGTGCAACGCTTATTAAAATGTTAGGGTGTAGTGGCGTTCAGATTTGTTTATTGTGGTAAGGGTTTTGAGTTCTGCTGTAAAGGAACTGAGATATATCATTTGGTGTATTGGCTTGTGATTGCTATGAGATAATGGTGCAATAACCTGTAGTCTCCTTTGCATGTGTGCTTAAGATACCCATTGTAAAGTATGCCAGTGATTCTCCCTAGGAAGAGAACATTTAGATAAAATACTTTTTGGGGTATATTTTATAATGTCATGTACGAAAGCTTGTTGTTTAGGATGCTTCACATCCTAACTTGAAAGAACAAATAATTTATTTCATCTGCTTTCTTTCCTTACTGTTTTTGCCATATTTTTATTAATCCACAGTGCTTTGTGGTACTTCTGGCAGATGTATGTTGCTTAAAAATGCAATGAACTTCTCCAGCAATGTGATAAGTGTTTTTCTTTTTTATCCATCTGTAGATTTCATTTCTGGCCTGGTTCTGTGGAATGTCAGGAATTGGCTTGGTTTCTTTGTCAGATTATTAGCTCTTGGTAAACAGGATCTGAATTGGAAGATGAGGCTCATAGAGTACATTTTGATAGGATAACCCTTTTAAGGTTGTGCTAAGCTGTGAACAGATTCTGTCTGATTTGGAACAGTGACTGTATGGGTTATTCGTGCCAATTTTTAAAAGATAAATAAGCTTTTTTTAAAAAAAACCACAAAAACTTGATCCCTCTATATAGCCTTGACTCAATAGCTAATGCTTTATGGTGTTAGTTTGCTTGTTGGAGTTAGTGCCATCTGTCTTGCTTTCTAAGGGGTCTGTATTGCCATGTATTGCCATCCATTTCCATGATTGTTGGGCAATTCTGGGTCCTTTTTAGGCTAAAGTTTTAAATTGTGCACAAATCCAATTAATTGATTTTGAGATGACTCACCCTTAAACCCTTACCATTAACAAGTTGCACTAGGCAGTGTCAGAAACTCTGATATGAAAGCTAGGAGCTAAATGGCACCTTAAACCTACAAAATGTCTAAGTACACTTTTTTAATAGCAAGAATACAGAGCTGAAAATGAATGAACTGCAGCTAAAATATTATGTTCACTTTTCACATGGTCTAATCTTTTCCCTGCCCCCCCCTAATATTCTTAAGAGGGTCTCTTCTCCAGTCTTCAGAGAGTAGCTGGAAGTGGGAAGGCAGAAAAAGGTCCTCTTTTCCTTCCATTCTGCTCGTGCTAATGAAATTCCCTGTCACAAAATGCACCTAGAACAATGGGAGTACACAGACATGCGCATGCTCGTGCGTGCGTGCGCGCACACACACACATGAATACACACACACACACACACACACACACACACACATGTTTATGGTTTGGATGTGAGTCAAACCATATCTTAGTTGTTTTCTTTTTTAATGAATGTTGTTACTGGTTTTTCTATCTTGCTTTAGTGGAATGTTCTTATGTCCTTGCTTGACCTTTTAACTGTGACTATATTTACACAGTTCCCTGGGGTTCTGGTTGTGTGTAGTAAGGCCCAGGAAAAGCTGCATTTTTATTAATGGGCCTCTGACCTGCATATTGGAATGATAGGAAAGGAAAACTGTTGGTCAGCAGCAAGAAAACTGGCTGGATTTCAGCATCATCTAGTCCATTAGGCTAGGGTAACTGTGTTCTGTGCCAAATAAAGTGAACTTTATTTTATTGTCTTGCTGCCATATATTTTTTTTTAAAGGAAAGAAGTGACACAGTAAAAAAATTAGCTTTAGTGTAGAGATAGGGCCAACATAAATGGTGCAGAAAGCTAAATCCAGAACACCAGGACTGCATTAGCACTGCAACCGTTAAGTATCTGCAGACTGAAAACACTGTAGCAACATGCTTTAAAAGGTAGCTTATATCAGTAAGCCCCAGTTGGCCTTTTATATCAGTTTAAAAGAGAAATTCAGACTGAAGGGAATGCACTTGGTTGGCAACACTGGAAACATTTTGGTCATTTTGTTTTGGATTTTACCAACTGAATAAAGGATGATACTTTACCCTTATTGTGATTTCACTTGCTATTTCAATATTAAACTTTCTCTTGCATAACTACAGAGTTATTTCAGTTATTTCTTTTCAATCTTGCACTGTCTCAGTAGGTGCCTCTAATGCTACAGTCTATGTACACTTACCTGGATTAAGTTTCATAAATTGACATGCATAGGATTGCACTGTAAGACTATTTCAGTGCATCTTTAAGACAGCCAACTAAGTTCTTGGTTTACTTAAGTTCAGATGGTTTACCTAAGTTCAGATATCTGAGTCTGTTCATTTCATACTGGTTTTATAGAGAAACCTTTCAAGCAGATTTATATTTTGCCTTTTATCACTGTTTGGTACAAACTGAACAGTCTCAGTGTTTAAATATGGCTAAATTGTCAATCCTGAAATTAATGGGGATAAGGGGCTCCTAACCTTTGTGCCACTGCAGCATGACTAACAAGATGTCAGGCCAGGATTGTGAGCAGGATGTGGCATATAAAGTATTAATGATGAAGGCAAAACATGTGGAAGATATCCCCTATGTGTATCTTTTTATTTCCCCATGGGTGTATTTCCTCCTAATGTGTATGTGTGTATTTTAACAATTTAGAATTCACATTTTAACCCTGAATATATTTTGGAAATTTCAGACATGATCTAGTCCACTGTGGATACAATGCACTCTCACATGCAGAGGAATCCTGTTAGACTGACAAGATCTGTTTTCTCCTCTACCTGTGTTCAGACAGGCAGCGTGACAGTGAGAATAGTAGGGCCAGTGCACACCTACCATCTTTCCATCCAACCCACCATTTTGCTTCTCCATCCACCAAATAGAGGGAGAATGCTGAATGGGATGTGGCAAGTGTTCAAAGGTCTACTGTTCTCCCCTAATGGCCCATATAACTGCTTATGTGTATGTATAGTGGAGAGGATTTCAGCTACACTGTGGAAATCGTCTGCATTTGAGTGCTACATCTGAAGGGAAATGATTTGTGTCCATAGTGTGTTTCAATGGAGCAAATGAAAGCAGGAGATAGATAAGGAATGGTTGATGAACATATGTTCGTTTATGTTTTGGCAAAAAAAGTTATGGTGTAATATAGCATGCTGACAATTGTACTTACTTTAGAGTAGACATACAGTAAGCCCACAACTTGCGCTCATTTAGCTTATGTGCATTCAGCTTTGTAAATATATATAGTCTGACCCCTTTAGGGTTTCTGCCTACGCCCCAGAGTCCCCAAGAACAGCACTTCTGTCTTGTCAGGATTCAACCTCAATCCTTGATCTAACAGCTCCAAAGTACCGTATTTTTCGCCCCATAGGACGCACCGCCCCATAGGACGCACCTAGGTTTTTTTGGGGGGGGGGAATAAAGGA